ATAACTACCTCAGCAGTTCCAAACCAACCAATACACTAGAATAACTACCTCAGCAGTTCCAAACCAACCAATACACTAGAATAAGTCAATTTCCTTCTTAATGCTCATTGAAACCCTAAAAAAGGAAGAATATCTCTGACGCTTCCACCCATTCCTGCAGCTGGCAGGCTAACAAAAAAAGAGAAGCTAAATGCTCCATTTCCATTGCGTGGGATTTATTTCTTACACCATAAAATTGGTTCTAATTTATGACTTAGTTGATTAACGGACATACGCATTTTGAACGGACGGATGGCTTTGTTGCCATGATAGATGATAGACCGGCACTGTGGCCGAGAAGAGACAGTCATGACACGGCGGCCATGACAAGAGGACAGATTGGCACGGTGGCTGCGGAAAAGGTGTTGCCATGGCGGCCAGGCGAAATGGAGAGGTACTTACTTGTTGGTCCATGGGCAATGTTTAAACGGACGCGCAAATTACTATTTTGAACGGACGCGCAAGCAGGTGGGTGGTCCTCTTCGTTGAGAAAATTGAGAAATAGAAATGCCTAGATGGAAGGAAAACCACAACCCATAAAGAATAAATACCACTTACTGTTGGGTAGATCCTAAGGATCTATTGTTTGGAAATGCACCAGGAATGAAAATGCAGGACGATGGAGCAGCAGCCATGTTGGACGGAGGGAAAATTACGAGCCTCATGAAAACCGAGTCATACTGATCAAGTCAAAAGATCTACAGTCTTGATTTTAAGAAACACTTGTTTTTAGGGTAGATTAATAAACATACTTTTAAGGAAGAATAAATTTAGTATTTAAGGCAGATTCAATAAATACTGTGTAAGGCAGATTAGAGTAAAGGTTTAAATTTGAGAATTTACTACTGATTATTGGAGCAATGATTTGGGTGGAAACTCAGTTTGTTTTTAATTTTGTCGAAAGCAGGATGCTTGCATTTCCATACCAACATTGTGCCCAGAAACCCTGTTCTCAGCTATTCCCAACCCTTATCTCTACACACAGTTTAGTTTTGATTTTAATAAAGGTGGACACACAATTCTCAAGGTTTTATTCCCCTGTCCTAAAATCTAGTCTAGTCTGAAGAGAACAGAGGGGAGGCCGACACGGCGGCCATCCAAAAGAGAAAATTTAAATATGGACTCACCCGTCGTTGATAAGCCTAAAAAGGAAAAGTTGTCAGCCATCAACATTTCATCATTGACAAATTGAAAGCCATGGCACTGCCGCCATTTCAAACAAACCAGACCACAGGACCTAATTTACTTAAATGAACTGCTGAGGTGAATCGAGTTTAGACATCAATACTGCATATCCTATCACATACTAGCCCTCAACAAAGTTCAAGTCCATATCTAACTCTCGGCTTCAGATCGGCTACACATTTCTCAGAGAAAATAAGAAAGAGGATAAGATGGATGCGCTGGCGAACAGGCGGTTGTGCCGCCATAATAAAAACATTTAAGGCACAGCGGCCAAGCGAGCTGGGGGCACGGCGGCCAAGCGAGCTGGGGGCACGGCGGCCACCCAAGAAAAAAAACCTTAGTCCTACTGTTTGAAGATCTTCCTGAAGATCGACCTGAAAGACAGAAAAAAAAGCTAGGTCAGATTTGAATTTTCTTTAACGTTTAAACAAATTCTAGTCGACATTCATCAAAACATGATATGTTTGTTATGTTGAGGCAGTAAATGTCTCCATGAAACCAGTTGACAGGAGTCACTCACCTCTTCTTAGGGAGTTCAGGTTCTTTGTGATGCTGGACCAGGTCAACCACGTCTCGCTGTGTCTACAACGAACAAGTTTCTGTTCCTAAAAGAAAACATTAAAGTTAAAACAAACCAAACTCAGGCTTTACATTGTCAAGTCAATTTTATTCACCTATCTAATTAATTAATTCTTATTTTATCAACATTTAATTTATCTTCATTAATTATATCAGTTCCATTTTATTGTTATTTCTTTAATTTCTCCTTTCATTTTACTCCCATAGTTTGCTCAGCCTTTATTTCCATTTTATTCCATTTCATTTAATTCTCCTTGAAAATCCTGCTGGGATATTAAACTGTTTTTGTGTATCTTATGTTGCTTTAAATGTTTTAAAAATAAAGATGCCAATAGATAAAAGACGGACATTTCCGTGATTTCATTTTCTGAAGTTTAGCTGAAATGTAGAAACTTACACACGTGAGAGTGATGACGGTAAACGTCCACGTGAAGTCACTCACCTTTAATGAGGAGCGCTGAAGCTGGACGTGGTTGACCTGTCGACTGTGTCCACGATGAAACGATAAACTAATAAACTAATATTAACGTTAAATGAAAACTTTCAAATAAAATAACGTTAAACTACAACTTCCGCCGCGCACGCGACAGTCGCAGCAGGTTGCTGTTGTTTTCTGGCGTGTGACGTCATACGCTGCTGCCGCGCGAAAACCCAGAAGTTTCCTCCCGGAGACAAACTTCTTCTCCCGGTCTCTCACTTTCTGCTCCGTCGCTTTGCGTCGCGTTCGTTTTGTCTCAGTTTGTTCAGCTTTGTTTCTGCAGCTCGTGACCTGAAGACGTGCCAGGCACAGACTGCGAGAGAATGAGCGAGTCAGCCTCTTCATCAGCTGATCACAAACACCTGATCACACCTGGTCAGGGGGCGGGGCCTTCAGCTCGTTGTGGAGGGGGGGCGATGATCATGTGTCGAGTGTAAATCTCTAATAATACTTGACATGTCCAGTGACGTGTATTTCCACTAGTAAAGAAGCAACACATGGATCCAGATAGAGCTGATGGTACTGATGAGATTATGTTTTATCTAAGAAGCGGATCTTTGATATTTCACTTTCAATGTGTGAAAGTCCAGAACATTATGAAGCTGCACTGTATTTATGTATTGTCTTTGCAATTAAGTCATTTATTTCCATGGCAGCCATTTCACGTTACATTACATTATGTGGTAAGAAAAAAATGTTGTACTTGGAATCAAATTTATTTGAGTAAGTTCATCTAAAATACAATTAAATATTATCATCTACATATATTTTGTATGAAAACTGAATGAAAATCTGTAACATAAATACACATCTGACTTTTGTAACAAATCAAGCGGCTTGAAAATCTGAGTTCTGAACATGTAAATTGTGGACAGACCTTCTGCCCAATGTGCCTTTCGAAGACATGGCTGAATGTACCAAGGCAGCTGGGGTGAGATTCAAGATTCTACCGTGAGGTAAAACTGCAACAAGGTGCAGTCTGGTTCAATGTAAATATTCAACATGTCTGACACATCCTTGGTAAACTGAAGCAGAGCTGTGACTTACTGGAGGTAAGAATCCACTGAGATCGCACTGTGAGGCAAATGAGACGGGGTTCTATTTTTTAAAACTTAAAAACACTTTATGTAGTGACTATAATTAGCAAACTCTTTCTATGTAAACGTGCATAAGTAGATTTACAATGATAACGAGGGGGACAACTCTGCCCATTCATTGTAACTTACTGTCACTTTAATTTGGACATGGGTTTATGCTTAAACGTTTAAAATAATCAGTAAGAGGGGGCATGAAGGCACGGGATGGTGAGCAGGACCTCAGGTTAGGACAATGTATTGAGGTGCAAGTCCAGAACGAATGGGTCTTAAAAGTCAGTGATAATATGTTCAAATCAATTCTGAAATTTACCAATAAAGAGACGTCAAAATCAGAGTAATAAGTCCTTTTAGTAGATTTGGTGTGGATGTAAAATTTCCCATGAGAAGCACAGCCACAAAGGTTTAATCATTAGTGTCCTGTGTCTTTCTAATGTAAAAATAAAAGAATAGAACCACATGACAGAGTTTGTTAATATATGTATATGTATGAAAAATTTTTGCAATCCACATAACATGTTGGGGAAATTATTAATGTGCAAAAAAAACAGATTCTCTGTGTGCCACAGTACTCTGAGGAAAAAAGGGTATCATTCATTTAATACAATTTGCAAACCTAAAGCTTCTTGTGAAAGAGAAGGTTTGTTGCGCACCAGCAAATACAGGACGATCACACATAATCACAACATTCCTATTTATTAATCAATATAGAATACATTTTTTATGTACAAATAGATGTGAAGAGGGATTTCATGTCAACCAAGGCCTCAGAACAGACACCAGGGAGAAATACAGAGTAAGTAACTGTAATCAAGATAAAAAATAAAGACACTCAGAGTTTATGAATTGAGGGGGGAGGACACGCTGTCATGGTAACCAATCCCTGTCTTCTCCATCCAGTGCTTTCTTGAGGTTCTCCTTGTTTCTGATGCTGTTGAGGAGCAGCTCCAGCGTCCTGACGACAGGCTGCATCCCGCTGCTGCCCAGAGCCCCCACGCTGTGCCTCTTCCCAAAGCGTCCGATGGGTCTCACCCCGCGCCCTGCGTACCAGAATGGGTCTATCTCTGGACCTGGACCACACAGACACAAGTACAGTGTCATCATATATCAAATCCAGCAAGTACAATGATGAAAAGACCAAAATTAATTCCACAAACACAATGATATTCGGATGATGGGTACATTTTGTAGTAAGCTACTTAAAATAAAAAATAATTGATGACATGAAACATTCCCAAGTCAAACATATGGACTTTTTTAGCATCTTCAGTTTGACTCTTCAGGTTTTTATATAGCTTTTGATGCTTCACAGTATTCTATATGGAGAATATTCATTTGAATTAAAATAAAGGCGATGCCATTGATTACTAGAACAGTATTGTCATATTTATTAATATTATTTATTAGGTTCATTTCTACTTTTGATAGGAAAGTTTTTTACAGTCTATTAATGATGCAGTAAATGATCCCTTGAGATCAAGACAGGGTTTGAAAACCAGTATCTCAGTTTAATAGTAAAATTAATATCAGACAGGTAATTCCTCTGAAAATTATATGAATAGTAATGTAAAGACATAATAAGAGGAACATATTGACTGATAGTTGTTTTGTCAGTCATCTTCACATTTACTTAAATCTCCAATCTCATCGAATCACATTCAGCAGGATTTTATAACAAATCACAAATAAAATGTTATATAAATCCCAGGTCTTACTTCTGTTGTCCACATTGTGAACGATGTGGAAGTCGTGCTCCACCGTGGTGCTGTGAGCGCTGCTGATGCTGGAGGAGAGGAGGAGGAGCAGTGCCAGGACTGCGGGCAGCCAGCGGCTCGTCAGGACACAGTGCTGGACATCAGCCGCTCTCCCAGGCAGCATGCTGTGGAGTCGCTCAAGGCACTGAGAGAGGACGGAGTGGTCAGAAAGACATCACCTACTGTTAGAGGTTACTCAAATCAAGAAGAAAGCCTGGAAAGAGCTAAAAATGATATAATTAGAAATAAAAACATATTTAGGATATGTCAGATTATGATGAATCAAATTTAGAATATAAGAGAAAAACTGAAATGCAGAGAATGGTATTCATAAGAGATGAATTAAAACATGAAGTAGGATTTATTCATTTAAACCTCACTACCAAGCAACAAAAACTTATACAGGAATATTAAAATATAACTTAGAAACACACATCCTAATCATTATAATCTCATATTTCTCATTATAAGTCCCAAAAGAAATAGAAAGCCTATACAGTCTATGCTATCAATATCATGTCAGATAAGTTAGCAATCATGTAAATACACAACTTTATGTACTACCATTATTCACTTGTTATTTTACAGTCTATCAATCTCATATTATTGATATATTATAGGATGAAGTCACATGGATATAATTGTTAAAAAAGCCACCTGAAGTGTCTAAATATCATAAAATAATCATCAAATTCACAACTCAATGTAGCCTAGAATGTAAACATGTAAGAATAATATAAATACATCGTATAATCTCGGCGCAGCATCATCTTACCCTGGACTTTGGTAACAGGATGAGGTTAGTCGGCGGAGGTCTGCAGTGGTTATTGTTGAGCAGGTGTGATCCAGCTTATATAGCCTTGCTGCCCATGAGGATGTTGGATGATGAATCAAGAACGTCAGTCACACACAGTCATCCTAGACCTACAGGATGCATCACCCACCTCCTCCTCCTCGCCTCCTCCCACTCCTTAACCCCCCCCTCACCCCTCTGACAGAGGACGGCTGCTTTTTGGAGTTTTCCTCATGTCCGTCACGTAGCAGAGTAGTCCATCAGGGAGTCAATGACACACGGACGACTTTGAATTAGTGAGCATGGGAAGACCCAGTGGCTCAAGTAGGTCTGTCAGACAATGACTGAGGTGGGAGGTTTGTGATGAGTCTCTCATCATTCAGCTTGATTACAAAGGGACCAGCCAGCACCCAATCAGGTACTGCAAAAAAAGAAAACAACACCTCAGTGTGTTCTTAGACACACTGTCATCTGAAACATTTTTCTTTTTTTTCTAAATTGATTACATTTCACATTTGGGAAGTTTGAATGCGTCATCAAAAACAATGTCATTGCTTGAAAACTAAAAAAAGATTAAAAAATAATGGGGGAAAAGACAGAATTAGCTATCATGATTCAATGTCTGTGTGACATTTTGTCTTCCTTAAAAAAGACTTTAAAATTTTGGCAAGAGACGTCACATTTAGGAAAATGTTGGTGTGCATTTAAAACTTATCTCATAGCTGGAAAACACAGACTGAAAAGATTAAATGTAAGGAAGACAGAGACTAAGCTTGCTCAACAAAACTATGATTCTTTCATGATTTAACATCTGTGGGTACATTTTGTCTTCCTTATAATAAATAAATAAAGTCTGACATGAAACATCACATTCTGGAAAATGTTGGTGAGTAATGAAAAATCATCTCATTGCTATAAAACTAAAAAGGAAATATAATGATGAAAAATATTAATATCTGTTGGTACATTTTGTCTATCTTAAAATTAACAGATACATTTTTACATGAAACTTGAAAGATGTTCTAATGAGTCAAACAAGCATCTTCAGTTTGACGTTTCAGGTTGTTTGTCTTTTTTGAGTTTAATTTAACCTTTTATTTAAAAAATAATATCTCAGTCTACCATGATTAACTTTCTATCTTTCAATTTAAATGAGAATAAACTGAATCCTTAAGCAGTGCTGACAGAAAATAGTATAGTAAACAAAAAATCTGAGGCAATCTTTGTTAAATTATTAAAACAATGTGTATGTGTTTTGAACGCACATTCATGGTTTTATCTACTTTCACTTTTCTCTTCTACACTCACAGGACTCATTTATGACATGAAAGCATCTGGCACGAAACTGAAATACAATATCAGAGTAGCTGGAACGGTCAGTGACAGAAAAACACACAACATATAACAGACTGAAGAAGGAGTAAGAAGCTATAAATGTCACGCATGTCACCAGTACCTGTGCGGAGAGGAGACAGCGATGACTCACAAGTGAGAGGTTAAGATGAGAAGAACTTCAGCCAGTCGGTGGGAGTCAGATGTAAAGTCGCCTGCGGGCCAAACAACAAAAAGTGTAAAGGTCAAAACATGTGATGATGTGATGTCAAACGTAGACGAGATGTGCAGAACATACAGCAACGGTTTGGTGAAGACTTGTCCCTCTCAGTTTATATATATATAGTGGGGGGGGGGCAGCCATAGCACCTCTATGAAGCCAAATAAATATATTCTGCAGGAGATGGAGAGCTCAAATGATTAGTTAATTAATCAGATAATCAATTAAGATGATTATTTTTAGTTTAAAGTAAATATTTTTTAGTTTCATTAATTTTATAAGCTAAACTGAGCTAAACTGTGACTCTTCGCTGCTTTTGTTTGGCTTTTTGAAAATCTTTGAGTTTTGGAGCTTGACACTACTTGTCATTGTAGTTTATAGTGATAAGAATTTTTCCCTATTTTACAGACATTTCAGAAAAATCATCAAATCTGCTGTTGTCCAGATCTGATCATTCATTTATTCACTTATGTACCAACTCTCAGTACAAGAAAATATGTGCACATCACATCCATTCTGTTTACCTGATGCAAGTGCGTATGTGTGTGTCCTCCATCCTGGGGCAGCACTTTAGTTCTCCTGCACAAACAATTTGTCATAGACTGTGATCAGATTGTACGACACAGTGTGCATGGCTGCAATAATGAGGTGATAAGTACCTGAGGACGTGTAATCACACCACAACATGAAAACCACCATAAATAATAAAGCAGATTTAATTTACGTTTTTAAATAAAGTTTATTCGTTGTTTGAGGCCCAGTCACAGCTGTTTGTGTGTGTGAGGTTTGGTGATGAGCTGAAAAACCATTCAGGAAGACGTCATGTGACTGTTGGTTTTATTCATGAATGCATTAGAGACAAATCTACAGACACATTTTTTTTCCATCTCTGAAAAGTGACCGAATGTCCACGTCTTCATGGTCTCATCAGCGTCTGATTGAATGGCTTCATCTCGCCCGTGTCATCTGTGTTTCTGTGAGCGGAGGCACAGCATGGGGCCCCTGCCAGACTTCCTGATCGTTACACATCCTGTGTAAAATCTTCAGGAATCGTGACATCACAAGCGAGGAAGTAAGTGAATGAAGGTATTTCTTCAGCAAAAGGAGATTCCCTTGATATTGTGAGAGTTCTGAGAAATGTGGGTATTGATTGTGAAACCCCTGCTTGCACAATGATTAACAGTTTAGCTCTGTGGTCTAAATCATTCGCCCTTGTGCTACAGTATATTTTGTTAACTGCCTCATGATTCGTGACCTACACAGTGTGTGGGCTGGGACATTCATTGATTATATTTGGTTTACCCTCTCCACCAAAAAAATCAGTCAGTTTCATTGAAGGAATTTCCTGTTGAGTTTTCATTCAGAACAAAAAACTTGATTTAAATTTGAATAGTTCCTTAAACATGACTATTTCACGACACCTAACGCATCCCTGCGATAGAAAGGGTTTATGAGGATGATACATTTGTGCACTGTTTCAACAATAACTCAGCAAAGAATCGACATCCAACCAGGAACATGGAAATATATAGTGGATCTATAAGGTGCAGCCACACACGTTTGACACATTTGTCACATGTCAATTTATGTTCCAATATGATATCAGATGCATTTTCTGCAGCTCTTGACTGCTTTATGTTTCTTACTAATTTCAACCATAAAAGTACATTATATTTCTCCTAATATTAAATCTCTCAATTCAGTTGAATTGTTATGGGGAGATGGGAGCAAGTGTTTCTATGTGAAATGCCTTGCTGCCCCTTTGTGGTCAGATGTGTGCACATGCAACGTATAAATACGCACATTTAGGATTTATAAGTGGAGGGAGATTTTTTTCTATGCATTTAGAATTGTTTTCCTCCACGTCAATTTGGGGAACCCCCCCAGAAATGACGCCCAGGCTGAGAATAACAGTTTTTAGAGACTGGTGATGCGGCTCTTTCTACTTATAACCACTAGATGTCCCTGTAGGAAGTGTGGGAGTGTGTCCAATCGAAGACTGTATTATGAGGACAAGATTGTGTCCTCTTGTACCATTCATAAAATGCATTTAGCCAATCCTACATCACAACACACCACATGATAAATGCCCTGAGTGTACAATATAATAACACTGCAAACAGAAAAAAACATGTGCAAATCCAGAAAAAAAATGAAAACAGAAAAAAACATGTGCAAATTAGGAAACAACTGCATCAGTTTGACGAGACATGTGCAGCAAAAAGTTCAAATACAAGCAAACTCAGAAAACATCTTCAACTATTGGAGACACCTGCGCTGCCAAAAGTCACAGCACGTGCACATGTGCTGCAAATAGTGCAAACGACAAAGGAAATGTTTCCATGGGACCCAGAACAGTGATCAAGTTCCATCACTGCTGACGAGAAGCAGACTTCAACAACTTCAGAGCGTTGAACTACAGCCAGGTTCCTCACTGTTTGGGGTCCCCTTGGAAGCATTTCCGTTGTCGTTTGCGCAATTTGCAGCGTGTCTCTGTGTCTGCACGTGTGTGTCGTCAAATTAATGAAGTTGTTTTCTTAATTTGCACATGATTTAATCCATTAGCATGTGTTTTCTTAATTTGCACATGATTTAATCTATTAGCATGTGTTTTCTTAATTTGCAGTGCGTTGGGATCTGTAAACAAAAACATGCTGGTGACCTTCATAAATATAAAAATAGCACATGTCACCATCCAGCGCACGCGCAATGTGAAAGAACATTAGAAACACGATACGACACATACCGTAGGCGTCTTTGACGAAACCGGAAGTACAGAGAAGCGCAAGCTCCTGTAGTTTATTTTGAAGTCGCTTCAGAAGTCACGCTCACTTCCTGTTGACAGTGAAGCTGATAAACACCCAGAGAGACACATCATGTAGGAAGTGTCCGGGACATGGAGTGAAACCAACCACACGAGACCGCGCGGGACGAGGCGTAAACAGCCGAGGGGGCCCTCTGTGTGTGTGTGTTTGTTTTCTACATGCGTGTGAGGACGGTATGTCGCTGAGTTCGGGCGGGTGGACTCATACCCCCGGCTTCGCACCGCCGGACCAGTCCGCCGCCCTCCCCGCGCTCCAGCATGGGGCCTCGGCGTCACAGCCCGGCTGCCACACCGTGCTCATCTCCGTGCGGGTGTCGGTGTGCCACTCCGGTATTCGGCCGCTGTGTCTACCCGGAGCAGGTGACGAGTCACTCCGCCTGCAGCTCAGTATGGACCCGGGGAAATCCGGGGAATTCCGCCTGTCGCTGCAGGAGAGCAGCGAGACTGGCCGGAGTGTGGTGAGTCAGGGGCAGGGCTTGTTGTTGCTTAATGAAATGTATTAGATTCATTCTGGATGTGAAACTACAAACTCGACATTTTACTATGTTTCACTTTACTTTTTATTGTTTTTGATTCGTCAGTTATTTATATTGTGGTTTTATTGTTGTTTTGGTTCTCTGTGAAGCACTGTTTAACCTAGTAAAGAAAAGTGCTATACAAATAAAGTATATTAATACTCTATTACCATCTAAACTGACAGCACTTGATGTGTGAAAATACCTTGGACTTAAATCAAGTTTTAGTTTATAGTCTCAACCTCACTGGCTTCTCACCAGGGCTATATTAACCCATGAGGAAGTCCCAGATTAAAAAGTAGTTGTGGCCTCCCTGTGGCCCCCCTTAGGCCTCCTGTGGGCCTCCTGTGGCCTCCTGTGGCCTCCTGTGGCCCCCTGTGGGCCTCCTGTGGCCCCCTCTGTACCCTTTAACATACATGCATGTTCCGTGTTCAGGCAGCCATCAGGCAACACTCACTAAACAGAGCACACAGCTCATGGCAGTTTTCTGATTTTTCGAGTTCTTCTCTGAGATGCAGAAATCTACTTCTTTAACATTTCTCACTTCTGTCAGTTGAATGTGGAACTTGAACACGAAGCCTGTACAGTTATTGTATTAAAAAAAATAAACATGGGTTATTAATGTAATGAAGTTTTTGTTCCAAATCAGACACACACCGCTTGTTTTGCGTGATGGTCACCTTGCTGAAATTTAGACACCCCTCTCAGTATGATGCATTTCAGTTCAGAGACTTGGGAGAGTTCTACTCAGGTTTTCCATTTGTAATTTTTAGACCAATTCATTTTTGTTCTATTGTTTTTAAGATTTTCTTAACGAACAATGTCTGTCTGTATTTAATTGATGTGTTAAAAACCGATATTAGAATAATGTTTTTTACACAAACATTTGCAGTGACCCACATCATTGCTGTTTTTACGCAACTTAATGATTCATTTTCCTTCACCATGTCACCTGACCTCATCTCTTTCCTCCTCACTCCCTGTTCCTCTTGTTTCAGACCGTCGCTGAGTTTGATTTGAGGACAGTAAACTATGAAGTGAAGTCACCAAAGTGCCACGAGCTGTATTTGACTGCGCCGCCACATGACCGCATCAGTTTCAACTTTCGCTGTGAGCAGGAGGCCAATGAGTGGGCTACTGTGGTGATGTCATCATTGAGAGAAGCGCATAGAGGTCAGTACCGACAGTGTGTTCAGGAAGTATTTACACTCCTTCACCAGTGTATTTCCGGCATAGAGAATTGGCAGCCACAGAAGAACGATGGAGAAAAGTTAAACATTTTCTTGCAGAAATATAAACCCACTTATAATAATGTTGGACACTTGTGTATTTTCAAGTGTCGGGTTTAATTTGCCCTGTTGTGAACACAAGCTTGTTCAGTCACATATTTATTTGAACAGAGGAGCTTTTCACTGGCCTGGTCAATAATTGGTCACATCAGTAGTGACTGTTTCAACAACTGTAAACAAACTCCATATTTTGACTTTAGAGGGAATTTCAATTGGTTTGTGCTTACTTACATTATATTCTATTTCACTTTCACATATGTGTCTAAGCAGTAAAGTAAAAGAAATGAAAGATGATAGAAAGTGAGAAACCATAACAAAAAGTAAATACAATTAGACATGCATAAAGTAGTATGCTATATTTATCTATACTTCCTTTCCCAGTCTGGGAGGATTATAATATAGTTAATATATAAAGAAATATATGCAGTAACCACAGAGTTCTCCTGAAAGAATGGGAAGATTATTTGCTGTCTAAGAAGTGGGACTGAATTCTCTGTTAAACATTGAAACCAACATGAGGATGTGGAAGTGACAGTGTAATGAACAAATTAGCCCTGCAGCACAAGACACAAGCTTTCCTTTCAACTGATTTGGATTTCACTTGGTAAGTGACGAGAGTGAGACTAGCTCTCGCTTTAGTTGTCGTCAAACTTAACTCTTTAAACTGTGTTCTATAGACGAGATGAGTTCACACGATAGTATGAAATCTACTAAGAACAGAATAAAATTTACCATTCCTGTGTAAAAAAGATAGTTTATAGTTTCAGACAAAGATAAAGATGGATCATTTCCTCCCACTATTCAGAAATTAAGCCGAAACATCACGCAGGCTGCCATCTTGCAACAGTGAAGTCATTTTAAAATAGAGTCTGCACAGTAGGGACTGGGTTATGCTCAACCAATCAGGAGTCACTCTCAACTGTCAGTCTTGTTGGGTTTTCCATTTCAACTTTTTTCAACTTTTTTCGTTAGCAGCTGCTCCTCAAGATAATGGCCCACAGCGCCCCCTGGATGATCTCCAACGTCAGGACACATTGATGTTGCAACGAGCAGGTGTGCACACTGAACATCTCCCTGTTTCATGTAAATTATTATGAGAGTTAGAAGCGATGTAACTAATTCACTCATTCGCTCACTCATTTTACTCACTCATTGAATCATTGTTAGCTCCATAGTGGCTCTGTGGCCGAATGGAAACATCCTCTTTCCATCAACCTATGTTCACCTGTGTAGGCTTGTCTGTGTTTCCCTGTGCATGTATGCATCTATACATCTGTAGAGGAAACCTGCATAGACCTGACCCGAGCCATAGAAGCAGGTGACATTCAGTCTGCTTCTGTCATCGCTGCCACACTCGCACGGCAACACACTGCCCTCAAGATCCAGCCCTTTGCCCAAGACTATGAAGACTCTGAAATCAAGTAGGACCTTGATTGTTATTTGTGATTTTAACATGATTTAACTAGAAATTGTCACGGCTATAGATTTTGTCTGACGACTTGTATTTCATTTTATTCTAACAGTTTGGCTGTTGTAGTTGAAGATTCTTCCTCGTCCTGTTGTGTCACTGTGAAAGTGTTCCCTCATATGATGACTGCAGCACTGAAACAGCAGGTTAGCCTCTTTCAAACTTTTTCTTTCACAATATTTCAATTTCTCCACCCAGTTATCGACCTTTTTCTCTGCTATTATCACTCTCACTTGTTTGCTTCTTTTCATTCTATACCTCCTCAGATGTTTCTTGAGTATGGCTTTCACCCGCGGGTGCAGCGCTGGGTGATCGGCCAGTGCTTGTGCAGCGACCAGCGCTCTCTCGCCTCGTACGGCGTTCGCCAGGACGGCGACACAGCTTTCTTGTACCTCCTGTCAGCCCGATACACTCACTTAACGCACCAAGTCCTGCAGCAGGATCAGGAGAGCGCCCTTCTCCTCAACCCTCCCTCACTGTTGCTGCCCACCCCGCCCCTCCCTCCTACCTCTACGAACGGCACCTCATCTCAGGACCGGAGGCCGTACACTACCCTGCCCCCAAGACTCCATATGAGCAGCAACACTGGTGAGTGATGGCTTTAATATATAGGTTAGATTGATGTACCCCGTGCACAGTCAATGGTAAAAGCAGTGTAATTTGTTCCCTGTCACAGTCAATGCTCATGAAAAATCTGAATCCACTGGTTTATATTTAGTTTACTATAATATTCAATTCATCCACCTCTTGTTGGGTTAAAGGCTCCTCCACACATCCTTTACTGACAAGAAGTTTCATTTGATCCAGATTGCAATTAAATATATTTTAAATTAAGCAGAAGGAAGTGGAAGTAAATGTTTCCATTTTCATCCATATATCACATCTATACATCCAAGTACCACATTCTTGTGTACAACACAACACACAACACAGAAAGGAAAAGCAGTTATTGTAATTGTGTCAATAGCTAAATGGAAAGAAATCCCTGGAGCTGTATCTGTACTTTGTGCCATCGTTACACATGTATTGAAAGTTATGCTAAATGTAAGACCAGACTAATTTAAATTCCATTTAGCCATGTATGAAATGCTTGTTACAACTCATTCAGCATAATGTATTACAAAGTTTATGTAACACGTACAAACACTAACGGTTACACACATTCAGATGTTACTGAGTTCTTGTTCTCTCATTTTTCAGAAAGAGGAAACATCAGTGAAATCAAAGATCTCATTAACCTAGAGATGCCTCAACTCAATGAAGCACTGAGCCCCTCCACATCCACATCCTCCAGCCAGGTAATGCGCAGCAGCAGCCATTGTGCTTTTGTAATTAAAGTATGTATTGAAAGATTCATAATAAAGTTCAACAAACCTTTTAAAGCAACAAATTAAAGTGCTATTCTTCATGTTAGGGCTGGTCATGCCCCTCTTGCACTTACATTAACAAACCAACTCGGCCGGGCTGTGAGATCTGCAGTACAAACCGGCCCGAGAACTACGTCATCCCGGGGGGTTATCGCCCCGACGCGCTGGAACTCAGGCGCATCCAGCAGGAGAAGGAGGCAATCAGACAGTACCAGCAGGTAGGAAATACACACGACAGAGTGTACCATGCACGCACAGCACTACATATACATACAATAATACACCTGTATGCCTGCAAAGACAGCTTGTGTCACGCATGTATACTTGGAATAAATATGTTGTTAGAAAATGAATGGCTCAAACAAACGTTTAGCTCAATATT